AGACTCTCCCCCTAGCCTGAAGCCCTGGCTGAGGGGCCCCCAACCTTAAGAGCTCATAGAGATTCCTGCAGGACCTAAGGGAGTTATTATTATAATTGTTATTATTTTTTGAGATGGAGTCACACTCTGTCGTGCAGGCTAGAGTGAAGTGGCGCAATCTCAGCTCACTGCAACCTCCACCTGCCAGGTTTAAGCAATTTTCCTGCCTCAGCCTCCCAAGTACCTGGGATTATAGGCATAAACCACAACGCCTGTAATTTTTGTATTTTTAGTAGAAACGGGATTTCACCACGTTGGCCAGGTTGGTCTCGAACTCCTGACCTCAAGTGATCTGCCGGCCTTGGCCTCCCAAAGTGCTGGGATTACAGGTGTGAGCCACCACACCTGGCCTGAGGGAGTTTCGAGCCTTCTGCGAGCCTCAGTTTCCTGGTCCGCAGAATGGGAATGAGAATGCCTGTCGTATTAGTCTCCTATTACTCCTGTTACAAATTACCATATATTTAGTGGCTTAAAACAACACAAATGTATTCTTTTACAGTTCTGGAGGTCCAAAGTCCTGAAATGGGTTGTCAGGGCTGTGTCCTCTGGAAACTCTAGCGGGGATCCGTTCCCTTGCCTCTGCTAGCTTCCAGAAGCTGTCTGCATGCCTTGGCTCCCAGCCCCATCCTCTAGCTTTGAAACCAGCAGTGTAGATTTTCGTCTGTCTTTCAATGCTTCCATCATCCCATCACCTTTACTCTCTCTGACCCTCCTGCCTCCCTCTTGTCAGGACCCTTGTGATGACATTGGGCCCACGCAGGTCATGCAGGATAATCTCTCCTTCTCAAGGCCCTGAACAAAATTGCATCTGCAGAATCTCTTCTACCACATGACCTAACACAGCCACAGCTCTGGCGATTAGGATGTGGGCATCTCGGGGGGCTGTTACTCAGCCTACCACACACACCTTGCAGAGCAGTTGTGAGGATGACATGAAACAAGACAACTGAAAGGCTCCCAGTGCCTGGGACAGGCCGTCAGTCCCCTTTCTCCTCTCCCGGGGCCTGTGTCTCCCCATCTGTAAGACGAGGTCCCTGGCAGTCCACACAGTCTGAGCCCACGTCCTTTCAGCATGCAGTACACACAGGCAGACTGTCCCTTCGGCGGCCAGGAGTTCCTGGGAAGTGGCAGACTTGAACCCTGTCCCCAACGCCTCTTCTCCCACTCCCTCCCAAGGGCAAGCCTGTTCTCAGTTCCCGTTGGTGCATTTCCCATCTTTCCCAGGGACGGCTGCTGGGAAAAGCTGAGCTCACCACTCCCCAGGGAGGGTGAGGGTGGAGGAAGGAGAAGGGAGAGGCCAGCAGCAGCCACTGCAAGAGATGGAGAGGAGAGGCTACGGAATGAGACTTGCAGTGGGAGACGCTGAGGTGATCGGCACTCAGAGAAGGGGAAGAGGCTGGGCAGGGCCTCTCATCTAGAATGGTCAGCTTTTCCTCAGCCCCTTGGCCCAGGCCCTGCTGCTTGGTTCCTCTGCCGGCCACCCCCTCTCAGCCAGCCCCTTCTGACAGGCCCTGGTGGCTACAGGAGTGTGTGTGTGTATGTTGGGGATGAGAGGAGTGTGTCACAGGCCAGCAGGGGCCAAAGTGGGGGCTCTGCCGCTGGACAGGAAGCCAGGAATCCCCCACTTCAGTGAGAAGAGGACCATTTCAGCCAGAGTCCACCTCTCACTTCCCTCTACTCAGAAATTAGTTACTGTTTGCCCTGGGGCTCATCATCTGCCTTCACTGGACCTCACTTTTTTGTTTGCCTGTGTGTGGCGGGGTGGAGGGCCGTGGGAGAGGCAGTTAACACCATTATGGGATTTGAGAGGGTGAAATGAGATTGTGATTTTGAACTGATTTTGAAATGTGCAGTCTGCTATATAAGGATGTGCATTCCATGCATAGCCTGTTCCTTTAACGTTCTCTTCTGCAGTTTGACAGTCTGACAAACTCTTCATTGTGCTTCAAGTCCAGCTCAGATGTCACCTGCTCTCTGTAACTTTGTCAACAGCCCCCTGCCTGTCCCAGAGAGAATGGAGCTGCTCCCTCCTCGGAATTGCTGTGGCCTCTTAATTTTTTCAATTTTTAACTTTTTCTTGAGACAGAGTTTCGCTCTTGTTGCCCAGGCTGGAGTGCAATGGCACCATCTCAGCTCACTGCAACCTCTGCCTACCAGGTTCAAGTGATTCTCCTGCCTCCGCCTCCCAAGTAGCTGGGACTACAGGCATGTGCCACCATGACCAGCTAATTTTGTATTTTTAGTAGAGACGGGGTTTCACCATGTTGGTCAGGCTGGTCTCGAACACCTGACCTCAGATGATCTGCCCACCTCGACCTTTCAAAGTGCTGGGATTACAGGCATGAGCCACAGTGCCTGGCCCTGTGGCCTCTTTATAACCCTCTCATGGGGTGGGTATTGGTTTGGACATCTGTCTACCCCCACCCTGTGCGGGCAGTACATTTGTAACAGACCCCTCTGCTCCTTAAGGTCATTGTGGTTGTGGTGGGACAGAGGTAGTGTGGCAAAGGCAGTTGGGGAGCTGGCCTCCTGGGGTCTGGCCTGTACAAAGTTGCCACATGCCACATGTCAGTCCAGCCCTTAGAATTGCGCAGACTGCATGACTGACTCAATCAGATTCACACGAACCTGAGCTAAATTAAGCAGGGGACCAAATCATTCGGGTCCATCGCTCTCTGTGGCATGAATGCCTATGCCCACTGCCTCCTGCTGATAATCAGACAGCACAGGGGCCGCGTTGCTCATGAGGTTTCCTGATGAGGATGAAATCTGAGCCAAGGGACGGTGCTGAAGGCAAGGCCATCTAGGTCTTAAGGAAGCACATTCCGTAAGCTCATCCACCACACTCCACACCCCCTGTGAAGGCTGTGTCCCACTGCCTGGTGCCGGTTTGATACACAGAGAGTATCAAATAAATGTTGGAAACAAGGTAGCGTGGTGATCAAAGGCTCCTCCACTTCCTGCAGATGTTCTTATATGTGATTCCTTACACCTTTTCCCCCTGCTAGACTTTAAGCCCCACAGAGGCAGGGCCCTGGATGGCCTTGTTCTCCTCGGTGTTCCCAGTGCCTCTCAGTGCACTCACCTACCTATGTTGAACCCAGGTTACATGCCAGGCACATACAGACATCAGCCTTTCATCCCCCTCAACACCTTGGAGCAGGCTGTGTTGCCCTGTTATCCAGGTGAGGACAGGGAAGGTAAGATGCCATGTCCAAATACAGCCATTAAATACCAGGAGAGAGAGAAAGATCCTGTTCCCAATTGCTCCCCACATCCATTTCCATTTGTGCAGTTCTCCCTGAGGTTTGGGATCAGATGGCCTGAGCTTCTAGGTTGCAGCAGGCAGAACTGGCTCTGGGGAGGTCATTCCAGATAGATTGGTGGCTAAGAAGAGGGCCAGCACCGTTCCTTCTGTGGGCTTCTTACCTCCCATCCTGAAGCCATAAAAGGGAACTGGTTTGAGGAGCAGGTGGAAGGTTTGGGGGTTGCATATTACCAAGTCCCAGTGTGTGTCTGGGGAAAGGTCTGGAGATGCTCTAGAATACTCCTCCCCTGCTCCCTGCCTCACTGAGGCACAACTGCTCTTGGTTGGCTTTGCTGTGCCCACCTTATCTGCAAGCCTGTGTGTTCCTGGAAGTAATGGAAATGCATTTATTTAAAATGCTCCATAATTCAGCCTTGTCCTAATATCAGGCCTTTGTCTCTGCTCAGCACTCTGGTCTCCCCAGGACTCCTCATGTACCCTTTATCTCCTCTCAGCTATCTAGGCTCCTGTGAGGTAACGTGACCCCCTGTGAGAGCCCGTAAGCCAGCTGAAGCCAAGATGGCCAAGGACCTGCCCAAGGCCACCAGTGGGTCTGCTTGCTGTGGTGGGGGGTTGTATTTGCACCATTCACAGAGCTCCAACTCTGTGCCAGGGCCTCATTTCCCTCCACACGGCTGTGCAGCAGGGTGATGAGGCTATAGGCCTGCCTGACCCTAAGCTTGTGCCCTTAACTCCTTTATGATGCACCTTCTCTGTGCCAAGCACAGGCCTTGCCCTGGAGGAGTTCCCATCCTGGGGGGCAAGTTCTCAAATGAATGATGCCCACTAAGGCAGGGGCGTGTCCTCAGAGAGGCCTGGCAAAGCTCCCTGAGGGATCAGGGCTTAAGCCCTCTCCTCCAGGGGTCCCTGCAATGTGGGGTCAGGCCCACCAGGCAGGCTGCCTGAGCACTTTGATGCTGGCTGCACCCATTTGTGGGCCTCTGGCCTCCCCAGGCCACCTTCTAAGAGCACAGGGAGCTGTGTGGGCAGGAAAAGGAGCAGAGGCTTTGGGGCCACCAGGCGGGCATTGCTTCCCCTGAACTGGGTAACTTATCTCTTCCCCCTCCCTAGCCTCCAGTTTCCAATTCTGTAAAAAGAGGATACTGGCTTTTTCTCCGTGAGTTATCCTTGAGATTAAACATAAATATATAAAGTACCTAGCACATGACAAATTAATAAATGATATGTCTTAAAATGATCACTGGGCACGATGGCATGTACCTGTAGTTGCAGCTACTCAGGACGCTGAGGTGGGAGGCTCACTTGCGCCCAGGAGATGAAGACAATATAGTGAGACCCTTCCTCCAAAAAAAATGTTATCATAGGACTTTTTTTTTTTTTTTTTTTTGAGATGGAGTCTCACTCTGTCGCCAAGGCTAGAGTGCAGTGGTGTGATCTTGGCTCACTGCAACCTCCGTCTCCCGGGTTAAAGCAGTTCTCCTGCCTCAGCCTCCCAAATAGCTGGCATTATAGGTGTGTGCCAGCACACCCAGCTAATTTTTTTTATTTTTAGTAGAGACGGGGTTTCACCATATTGGCCAGGCTGGTCTTGAATTCCTGACCTCAAGTGATCCACCTGCCTCGGCCTCCCACAGTGCTGGGATTACAGGCGTGAGCTACTGTGCCTGGCCAAATTTTTTAATAAGAAAATATACCCAGATTGTTACCAAAATCCAGTCAGATTGCTTTTCAGTGAACAGGCGTTCTGCAAATATTTACTTAGTGCTGTCTCTGGGCTCACTTGGGCCTTGGTCATAGGACCTGGTTTCAAATGCTGGCTCAGTGACTCCCTGGCTCTACTCAGTGGCCTGAGCTCCTGGGCCTTGGTTTCTGCCTCTTGTTCATGGTCCCTGGGGCCTCTGGTGAGACTGAGCTCATAAAGTGTCGGCAAAGTACTTTGTGGATCGATGCTAACTAATAGCGGTTCCCTGGAGCTGCTGTGAGTAGGAAAGACGACTGCGGAGGTTGCTTGGACCAGGCTCAGGGCCTGCACCCAGGGAGGGCTAGTGTTGTCCTCACAGTGGGACTAAGGAAGGGCCTGCTATCCCCTGTCCCTGATGCTTTATTCCACTTTAGCCAGGAGTGGGTGCTGATAAAGTTTGATGAATGGGATGGTGCTATCTGTGGCCATGGGGTAAGAGGCTTGCCCAGTTAGTGGCAGAGGCAGGTATGGATACTCATCTGGGTCACATCCAGCCAGAGCTGGGGCCATGGTCTGTCCTGGGATGCTCTTGTCAGGGATCCCCCTCTTGCCCCCTTTCTGTCTCATAGGGTGCCGGCCTCTGTCCAGACACACAGCTGTCATAAATATGGCATGGTGGCTTCAGTTCAATGGAAAGCATAAATGGGGAATTGGAGTGGGACCCTGGGCAGGGGAGGGTGTGAGCAAGGGCTCCAGAGGGAAGCCCTTCCCCGTGTGTTAGACTGAGCTGAAGTCTGTCCTGGGAACTTCTGGGGAGAGGGAGCAGATGGGGATCATGCCCTCTGGGAGCTCCTGGTGTGATGGAGGAGGCATGGCCCTGACCTCCAGGACACTCCTGTCTGATGGGGCAACATGGCTTCTGTTTCCTGGGACTGCCTGTGTAACAGAGGGGACACAGTCCTCTTGTCCTCTAGGAGCCGTGTGTCTGAGGAATGAGGCATGGTCTCCATCCTGCAGGAGCCTCCAATTTGATGGGGGAGCTGCGGTCACTTCCCTCGGAGAGATTCCCTATTTGAGAGAGGAGCCCTGACCTCTGTCCTCAGGAAGGACCCCTGTCTGATGGAGGCTTACTCAAGAAACCCCATTTATGGCCTTCACCTTTGACCCCTTCACCTTTGACCCCTTCCCCTACCTGATTCATCGGGAGGCCAGGTCCCACAGGCAGCAGCTACGCATGGAGCTGGGCAGTTATGAACTTGGCTGCAGGGAGGAAGGGAAGACAGGAGACTCCTTACAGGAGACTCTAAGGAGGCCCCCTGCTTTAAGTGAGGGTGACATAGAAGCCTTCCTGGTGAAGGTGTCTGTCTGGGATCCTCTGATGGACAGGAGATGCCTGGCTGTGATAAGTACCCACTGCGGATAAGGGGTAAGGGCTCCCCCAGGCTGGAAGGGAAACTTGATGGGTCACTCTGGTGAGCCCCTGTCTTCATGCAGGCTGGACTGCTGGAATGGAAAGTGGTCTAGGGAGACCCTCAGCATCTTTGGGGAGACCCTCACCCACTGCCCATCTGTGTACAGGCAGAGTGCTGCCAGCCCAGGGACATCCGCCCTCCATGGCCTGAGAAGCCCGGAGGAGGAGAGGAAACAGGACGCATATCAGGAACGCCTTTTCCTTTTCTTTGTAACTAACCCCTTGCTTGGGGCTGGTGAGAGCTGAGCCTGCGGGGCTGGCCCTGGCCTGGTTGCTGCTGCCTGCGGCCCCCAGCTCAGGCTCCCTCCACCTCACAGTCCACGGCTTTGGTGCTGCTCCTGGGCTGGCCTCTTCACTCCACTGAATCTCTGGGCTCTCATCTGTAAAATGGGGTAAGACTTTCTATCTGCCTTACCAGGAAGTTTGCTTTTCCTCTCTTTGTGGGATTTACATGATTTCTTCCTCTCTCCATGAGATGTGCATTGAATGCTTCCTGTGCACCAGCCTCTGGCATAGGTGGGGATGGAGAACACCCAGGAACGGTGTGGGGCAGAGAGGGGGAAAGGCTGTTTAGGACTTGTCTAAGGAGTTGGGGGACATCAAGTAGAGATGTCTGAAGGCTGATGGGTGTGGGGTCAGAGAGGGTCTGGCTGGAGACGAGGTTTGGACTTACTAGCATCTGGTGACAGCTGAAGTGGTCAGATGGGTGGAGTTGCCCAGGGAACTCCTTGTTATGGGATCTGGGAAGAGGCCAAGGTCAGACTCAGCTCTGGAGTCTCCTGAGAGCTGGGTACAGAGCAGGGATGGGGAGCCATGTGGCCAGGGCCTCCAGCAGGACTGAAATGGGATCAGTGCATTTGGTGCTTCCTGTGAGAGTTGAGACTTTTGCCTTTGCAGTGTGATGTCGGGGTGTGTGGGGAAGGGTGGATCACAGAGGATGAGGAGGGAGTAAAGGTGAAGGTGCTCAGACATCAAGGAATTTGATCAGTCAGGTTGTCATTCTTTTGCTTGTTTTTCTCATTATTCAAACTATTCCCCTGCTGAATGAAAGGGCTACTATGGGGTACATGTGTAGTCAGTTATATGCTGTGTGTATGTTGTATATGTGGGGGTTTGTAGACAAGATGTGTGTGGGGAGTGTGATGCATGTGTGTGTTTAGTATTTGTGTGTGTCTTTCTGTGCATGGTGTGTAGAGTGTGTGCACGTGACCACATTCAGATCCTTGATCCATACAGCAGGCTGGTGCTGAGTCGTCTGCCTGGGCTGGAAACTGGGAAGGATTCATCAAGCCTGTGAATTTCTCTTCTCTACTTAGGGTTACACCCAATAGTGTGCTGGTAACAACTGGCCCTCCAGAAAAAAAGGAGGGTGGGGGATTTTAGCATCTGCCAATTTCTGTGATGTAAATTCTCTGACTTCATATTTCACTCTTACCAACGTGAAGTCATTGAATGTGCAGTTGGGAAGAGATGAACAGCAGACACCATTGTATAGCATTTCCATCATACAGGTGTAGTAGGCATAAATACCCTTGAGGGTATGATAGTGACAACAGTAAAATAGTAAGTAATCAGTTTTGAAAATGCATTCCTGGGCCAGGCATGGTTTCTCATGCCTGTAATTCCAGCACTCTGGGAGGCCGAAGCGGGAGGATCACTTGAAGTCAGGAGTTCAAGACTAGCCTGGCCAACATGGTGAAACTCCATCTCTACCAAAAAAAAAAAAAAAAAAAAAAAAAAAAAAAAATACAAAAATTGGCTGGGTGTGGTGGCGCACACCTGTAATCCCAGCTACTTGGGAGGCTGAGTCATGAGAATTGCATGAGCCCAGGAGGTGGGGGTTGCAGTGAGCCAAGATCACATCACTGCATTCCACATTCTAGCCTGGGCAACAGAGCAAGACTCTGTCTCAAAAAAAAAAAAAAAAAAAAAGAAAAAGAAAAAAGAAAAGAAAATGCATTCCCTTTGCTTTCAATAGAGTTTGTTTAATTGTAACTTCACATTAGGATTTCTATTATTCTTTTTTTTTAAACTTTTTTTTTTCTCTTTTTTTAAAGACAGGTCTCACTATGTTGCCCAGCCTGGTCTCAAACTCCTGGGCTCAAGCGATCCTCCCACCTCAGCCTCCCAGAGTGCTGGGATTGCAGGCATGAGCCACTGCTCCAAGCAGGGTTTCTCAGCATCAGCACCATAACATTTTGGGCTGGAGATCCTTTGCTAGGGGGTTGGGGACACTGACATGTGCATTATACAGGCGGCATCCCTGGCCTCTACCTGCTAGATGTTAGTAGCACCTCTTCCACAAATCATGACAGCCCACAATGTCTCCAGACATTGCCAGGTGTCCCCTGGGGTGCAAATTCACCCCTCGGCTGAGAACCAATGGTACTGGCTGTGTTTAACAACCAGCTCACGAAATTCTTAAAAATGTGACACTTGGCTCTTATGAGCCTGTACAAGCCAGCTCAGCACACCGTGGGCACCGCATCCAGATAAATATAAGGCAGTTTTTCCCCCCAAAATTATTTCCCTGGAAAAAGCTCCCACCTTAGACCTTAGATTTCGGTCTGTACAGAGTCCCCGACCATGGAGAACCCTCTTGGCTTACTGACTGATCCACAGAACAGTGGACACAGAGTCAGAGATATACTGCCATAGTGGATCTGTTATGACATTTTATGAAATGTGAGAATAGGAAGAAATTAGTGATGTTTTTGAATTAATATCTTATCTTAACATATGTTATTCTATATCCTTAAAAGTTTGCATGTTGAAATTGGCAAAACAAACAAACCAAACAAAAACCCCCTTTAAATAAAATCTTTCTGCTGGGAAAATAATGGCCTGTCTTGTGTCAGGAGCGCCCTATAGCTAATGAGTTCCCGCCGAGGCTGCACATCCATGGTGCTCATCCAGGTGGTGAGGCTGCCACTTCTTGGCCCAGGTCCTATTTTTTCCCAGCTTCAAGCTCAGGGCTTGGCTCTTGTTTGTTCATTCAAAATCTTTATTAAGCACCTACTATGTACCAAGGAACATAAGTGACTGAAGTCGCAGTTTCTGCTCCCTGGGGCTTGCCATCATTTCAGTTCCGTGGCGTCCACTCAGGAGCAGCTGTGTGCAGGCCCTGTTTGGATGCTCAGGGGCCAGCAGGAGGGGGAGGGAAAGATGCACATGTGTGCTGGGTGCCTGGTGTGTGCCTGGAACGGAGCTGGGCACATCACACATGCACCTCCTCCCACCCTCCCACTGTGCTTTTGAGGGAGGGCTTGCTCATTAGTGGAGTGTCTGCCTCCCGCTGCCCTGTAGGTGCTCTGGGGAACAACACCGACTGGGGCCTGCACCTCCTACAGGTAAAAACAGCCCCAGGTCCAGAGATTTGAAAAATAAAGGGAAGAAAAGAAAGGAGGGAAATAAGAAAGACGAATGGAAGGAAGCAAAGGAGGGAACAAGGGCAGAGGAGTCAGGGCAAGAGCACTTTAAGCCAAGGCAGTCAAGGAAGGCTTCTTGGGTGTGGTGACGGTGGGACTGTGTGAAGGATGGGAAGGGCTGCAACTGGTAGAACTGATGCAAAGGATAGTACAGGAAGAGGGAACAGCAGGGCACGTACACGGAAATTTCTGGAATGTGGATGTCTACACTGGGAAAAAGTGGGGGCACAGTGACTCACACCTGTAATCCCAGCACTTTGGGAGGCCGAGGTGGGCAGATCACTTGAGGTCAGGAGTTTGAAACCAGCCTGACCAATATGCTGAAACCCTGTCTTTACTAAAAATACAATAATTAGCTGGGCATGGTGGCGCGCACCTGTCGTCCCAGCTACTCTGGAGGCTGAGGCAGGAGAATTGCTTTAACCCAGGAGGCGGAGGTTGCAGTGAGCCAAGATCATGCCACTCCAGTCCAGCCTGGGTGACAGAGAGAGACTCCATCTCCAAATAATAATAATAATAATGTAATAATAATCTGGGGAAAAACATCATAAAGTGTTTTCTACCCACGACTGTAGGGAGACAGACAACTTAAACCTTTCCCTGTCCCAGTAGGAGTAACACGACCGTCTCCTCCCAGCAGCAAGGCTTTCCCACCTGAGGGACATTTGGGGGAGAACTCTCCCTGAGCAGGGGGCGGGGACGGGACACTGGCCAGGATAATGATGATGATAATTGTAGTATCATAGCATCAACAATGTTAGCTTCTCTGTGTTGAGTCACTACTGGGGACCAGGTTTTTACACATAACCCCAGCCTATGCGGTGGGTATTATCCCCATTCTCCAGGCGAAGGAAGCTGAGCCTTCGAGAGGATAGGAAACGGGCCTGAGGTCACACTGAGAGGATAGGAAACGGGCCTGAGGTCACACTGGGCTCAAGCAGGGACTCAGGCAGAAGCTGAGCCTTCGAGAGGATAGGAAACGGGCCTGAGGTCACACTGGGCTCAAGCAGGGACTCAGGCAGGGACTGTCTGCTTCAGCCTCTGGGCTCTTTTGACTGCCAACAACCTTCTCTTTCTGAATCTCAGCCCCAGGAAGGCTGGGCAGCGCTCAGGCACAGTTGGTGGGCTCTTTGGTACCCAGCTGCCAGCCCACCTGGGGAAATTTTGATCAGCCCTTGATTTTCAGATCTCCAGTTTCATGGGTTAACAGAAAATAAGCCAAGCTCTTTTAAGAAACTCTCCCCTCTGTCCATGGCCCCCTCTTTCCTCACTCGGCACCACCTGAGAGTTTTCACAAACATGCTTCATGGCCAAAAAAGTGAACCCATGAATGCAGCAGGAGGCTTGGGGAATTGCTGTCTGCCTAGAAGTCTATGGGAAGTCTGCAGCCCGGGAGACTGACTTGGCCAGAACCCCTCACCCCCCAGCTACCATCCCTGACCCCTCTGGCCTGCCAGGCACTGCCCTGTGCCCTGGGAGCCATGGCAGATTTCAGCAGGGATGTGACAGGAGACGGGAACCACAGAAGCCAGCGGTCCCCATCCCAGTCTGACTCTGGGCACACTAGTGAGTCTCCCTGAGCCTGAGCTTCCTGGCCTGGTGTGAGGCTCTTCTCTCACTTTGATTTCTCCATCTGGGAAATGAAGCAGGTGGGACTGTGCTCCCTCAGGCTCCGGAAATCTCTGAAATGGGGTGACATTTCTTGCCTTCCTGCCTGCTTCCCCCTCCCGGGCTGTCCTGAAAAGCAGGTGCACTGATGGCGGGTAAACAGGCGGACCATGCTCTAACACAGGGAGGGCTGGGAAATTCTGGCAGGGCAGACAAGCTGGTACACAAATAACTCTGCTACCAGGGAGAGTGTGATAAAGGCCTAGGAACCTCTCTGCAGCCGCTGCCACCTGCTCCCCACACCTCCCTGCTCCCTAATGGCTGCTCTCACACCCAGGAAAGTGGGTCAGAATGTA